ATCTTCGAGTGCTGCCTTGGGATCTCAATGACCCCTTATTTACTCTTTAGTGAGGTGTCTAATGAAAAACATCGTTTCACTCTTACTGGAAGGGGCATATGGAAGTTGTAGGGCTCAGGAATTGCAGGATTAAGAAAAATAACATCTATTTACAGTTATATCAAGTACCTACTTACCTCTGAGAGTGCTGACAGCTTCGGCGCATCTAAAGGGTTGAGTAACCCAGTCCTTGTCCTCAAGGACTCCCTTCCCGTCCTCCTCAAAAAGGCAAGACCTCTGCTCATGAAGTAGGTAGAAGGCCATATTAAACAATAAAATTAAATGTTAAACAATATGACATTGTCCATAAGTGCAATAGTTGTTGAAAACCGAGAAAGATAATGTGGGCAGCATATTTGAGGTAGGAAGAAGCCAAATAGAGATGGATCCTGAAAAGACGGAAAGAATCAGGAGACCAGGCAAGAGTAAATCTAGAGTGGATGGAATGAATCTGCCGAGCTGTGAATGTGCACCAGTGATGGAAGGTGCTCCGTGTAGAACTGGGGAAACCAGCCTGTCTAGTACTCCACACATCGGAGGCATCCTCAGAATCATTTCAAAGACAGCACCTGCCTCAAAGACACATTTAATTAAAAATATGCAACAGAATATATTGGATATGCTGTATTACAGTAATTAATTGCAAATGCCACTCAAATTAAAAAATAAAAAAAGGAGTAGCACTTCATCTTTAATCATCAGTACATTACATAATACATGTAAACACATATTCCAAATGATGAGGGTTTATTTTTTTATGGAAAAAGAGGTTTGGTAATTTACCCAATTTTATGGGCTAGACACTCAAATTCAACTAACCATTGTTTAACCCTATTTATCCTTTTCACATATGAGCCCTGGTGCCACAGCAGTTAAGCATTTGACTACTAACCGAAAGATTTGCGGCTCAAACCCACCCAGTGGCTCAGTGGGAGAAAGACCTGGCGTTACGCTTCTGTAAAGATTACAGCCAAGAAAACTCTACGGGGCAGTTCTACTGTGTCACATGGGGTTACTATGAGTCAAAATCGACTCAACAGCACAAAATAGCTACAAACATTCTTTCCACAGCATTTTCTTTGTATGTTACTATTGACTTTAATTTAAAAAAAAAATGAATGTATTAGCTCCATTTGAGATGGAAAACAAAACAGAGGTTAGGGTTTTAAGTAGTTTATATAAACTGGTAGATTGTAGAACTAGAATATGAATCCAAATCAATTTTCTGACTCTTTCTTTTTTTTGCTACTGTATTTTTTTTCATTTCTTTACCATGTATTTAATAATCACTCGGTGAGTAGCAAGTACTTTTTTAGAAACTGGGTGTACAAGGGTGAAAGTAGCTAAAACATGAATGAAGCTTGAAAACATTATGCAGAGTGCAGTCAGTCAGTCACAGGGATAGGAGGGAGAAGGAAGGAGGAAGTCATTGCTTGGGGGCACTGAGCATGCACAAAATGTTGAAATGGCAACTTTTTGTTTTATTTATATGTCTATATATATACACTCAGCACAATAAAAAATTGAATAATAAATATGTGTCAGCTGTGTGTGTGTATAAACTAAAATGACAGTGGAAGAAACAGATACTAAACAATTGAATGTATGTGTGTATATGTATACATGTACATTGTTACATACGTTCATGTATCAAGTATGCACAGCAAAAAATAGTGTTATGAATAAAATCACACACACATATATATGAATTCAAGCAGGGACAAGAGCTACTAAGAAAAGTAAAGTAGGGTAAGG